AGAATTAAACCTAGCAATTTTTTGAACTTCATACAGGATGGAGGCAGCTGGTGCTATTCTCATTGCTATCACTAATGTCCCAGAGGCTTGCTTTTGGGTGGAGGCTTCAAATGGAATTTATGGACAAACGAAGAATCCATACGACTCCAGAAGAGGTACTGGAGGTAGCAGTGGTGGTGAAGGAGCTCTAATTGGTGCCGCGGCAAGTGTGGTCAGTATAAGTCAAATCATTTTGGCTGTATACGAATAAAAATACAGTAAAAAAACACTAAAACCCATAAACATACATAACGTTTCAAACAGAATATATATCTGGATACTCTGATGTTTCCATTAGACAACAAAGCCATGTTTAAAACGTTCACTATTTACTGTAAGAGAGGAATTAATAGATTTAAAAATGAGAAGCTGACGCAAAAGTTAGCAGAAATCTGCGTAATATATCTCAAAGCTCTGCGTTTTCAGATTGGGATTGGCAGTGATATTGGCGGCAGCATACGTATACCATCCTTCATGAATGGAATATTTGGCTTGAAGCCTACTCCAGGTAGGAACCAGCGCGCTTTCTTTGGTTCCCAAATACTTTCCCCATTTTTGGGCTTTCTTTCTTAAATTTCGTAAGAGACAAAAATCATCGGTACGAATATCGATTTTACGAATCATTTGAGCAAATTAGGCTTGAAGATAAAACAAAATAACTTCAATCCTCTTAAATGTCAAGAAGTTTAGGTGTCGTCCCCTTAGACGGTCACGTTCCAATGCCAAAAGACTTCCAAGAGCAAATGCTTTGCATAGGACCAATGTGCCGTTACGTTGAGGATATACCATTGATGATGGAGGTATGGGGATTTGAAGCTACGAAATCTCCCCATGATTTTTCATCATAAAAAATGCTTTTCATTTACTTCAATTCACTTAAATCCACAAAAAGGAAATTAAAATAATTCAACTGATCGGACGTCAATAATAAAGGACCTGAATAAGAATCATTACTGAAAGCAAAGTATTCCCTTTCTCAGTGATTATAGGTTCGTCTTTCGGAG